TAGAATGAAGACATGTTTGGGGGTGCTTTTCACACATAGCTTTATCTCAACATTGAAAACCTAAAAGTGTGACTATGCTTGGCTCCCCCCTTAGATATTTGTTGGAATATGCCTTCCATGGGATGGTAAATGAAAGCAGCCCAAACCAGGGCATGTGGTCGAGAGGCGAGACCTCCTTATTCCAGGCAACTGACTGCATTTCCCCCTGGGCTGTGCTTTTCTGAGAACTTCAGGTCTCAGATAAAATGCCAAATCACCCTAATGAGGCAGCTCTTTAGCTTGAATCAGCGGCAGTAGTCTACACGCATTTACCTCACAGTGTGAACTGAGCAAAGCTCCCCTTGTGTGAGGGAGCGGGCCCCTCATTTGCTGTCTTAGGTTGAATAGTTGCCATATTTAAAAGAACAAACATGATTTCCCTAGGACGTAACTTTTAGTGTGCTATGGTCAGTTCTCAGGCTAAGCTTTCCTATTAGTCATTCGGCATTTTCCTCAGAGCCCACATGGAAACCCCACTGTCTCCTTCGTACTGAATTCACCATGTGAAACACCACCACATCAAAGAAGCCAAATGTCCTGAGCTCTACAGGAGAGAGCTACGGAGAGCATGGCTCTAGTTCTGTCCAGTGGGCAGACAACTCAAACATACAAGCCCAGGGTCACATCGGGACAGTCGCAGGGTCCAGAACAAGTCATATCCCCCAACGTTCTCTATAAACATAATCAGATTTAGATAGATACCAAGGGCCATAATGAAGGGAGGAAAAAAACCCAGAAGACGTCACAACCATCACAAGGTTGATGAGGAGACAGAGACGCCCCGTGTCTTCCCTTTAACAGTGAATCCCTGGCCTTTCCGGTAAAGTGCAAAAGACTGTTTGAGGCTTTCTTTCCCAGCAAACAAACAAAACATCTCTAAACTATTTCATACCCGTGGAGAGGATTAAGACTAGACAAAGGCAAGCAGCAAGCCTTAAACTACTTCCCATATCCATCTATTTTGAGACAAGAAACGTACTCTGACTTGGCTGTGTCGGGAATCCATTCATGGACATTTCTGAGCTCCAACACTGAGAAATTGCCTCACAGAATTCAAAGTTGAGAGATCCCCAAGGCCTCTGTCACTGGAGTGGCTTACTGGTGTGACCTACCAAGCTGGTGAAACCAAGATGTGGAGTGGAGCTACCTACATCTGGCCGTTTGCTCCAGATGTTCCTCCTCTGCTCCTGCCCCTTTCCATCCCCAGGTTTCTAGATCTGTTCTGGATGGGTGTAGTGACTCATTAGTACACCCTCGGCTGGGAGCCAAGGCTGTGTAACTGTGGTGGCCTCTTCAACTGACATCATTCCTTGCATGTCACAGGATCAATTAAATACTGTTTACAGATTTTCACAAAGGTGAATAGTTTTCTCTTTTATAATTTTTATACTCATAGTTAAAACATTTACAAAGCCACAAAGGTAGAAGCATTTCAGAAGCTAAAAACAACCCCACCACTACCACCACCTCAACTCTACAAACCACTGGCCAATCACATCCAAATAGAATCTGATCCATCCTTTCCCTGGCCCTGAACTGGTTGTGGGTGACATTCCTGTAGAGCACAGTACTGTGTCCTATGACCCAACCAAGTGTCTCCATCCTCTGCTAAAGAAACTGCATTCCGCCATTTCTACAATGCTTCTGCTGTGGAAGAAAGTGACAGCTCCCATAGCCCCTCCCCTACAAGGTGCCTATCCATCATCTCCCCTACCTTTACGCATGGCCCTTGCTGTTCCCAGGGATGCCCTGTCTCTGGCTGTCCTGAGGTGTGTGACTGTCTCCTCCACTTGGCCATTTCCTTTTCTCCTCCTGTATTGCAGCCTTCCTGTTCTCTTTGTTTCTCCCGCATCGGCCCCTCTGGATGGTTATTTCCCTCCAGTACGGCCATTTTAAATTTTTGTTATCTCCTTTCAATCATTTCTCTTATTCAAAATGAAGCATGTGTCCTTATTAACCAAAGAATGATAAACAAAAGAAAGCTTCCAGACAGTGATTTTTTTTTCAATTTCACATTATTATCTATGGAGTCTAATTTATTTCCTAAGTTTTATTCTGAAAAATTTCAGTTCTGCTGAGAAGTTGCCAAAATGGTATAAGAAAGAAATATAGATTTCACCTTTGCAAGTCAACTATGAACAGTGTGCTACTGAATTTGATATCTTTTCAATATATACTCATTATTTTTCCTTGCTGAGTTAAAGAGAAAGTTGTAGATATTATAAGCCATCATCCCTAGATACTTCTGTGTATCCTTTAAGAAGAAAAATACTGTTTTCCACGACCACAAATATCTATCTATATATCTATCACACACAAAAACATAAACAGAGGCCTCATACTGCAATCTAGTGACAAAGCCCTGGGGGCTACTTTAGTATTCAGAGGAAGAATCTATATGTTGTTTTCATGTAATCACATAAATTAAGGTTTCATTACCAGCCTCACCAAAATGAGTATCAACAGAATACAGTGGACTTAGTACAAAGCTTTTGTAATTCTTCAATTTGTGTCGCCAATAGAAAATACCAAACCTACTTATCAACCAACAGAGTCTAACCAATGAACTGTATTTCCTGCTAAAGCCATTGAAGCAGCACTGGGGGGGGGGGCATCTGCAAATAGCTTGTAGAAATGTGACATGATTTTTTTTTTAAATATATAAATTACTTCTGTGAGGACTCTCGTGTTTGGGGTCATACTCAGCCTTGCTTCTTCCAGGAATGCATCTATCAGCCAATCCACTCACAGCAAGGACAAAGGTGATGTCACCATGGGGCTGAGAGCTCTGCTGTGTTTGAAAGGGAGAGATGTGTGCTTCGACATATGTCAACAAGCCCGGGACCCATGGGCAGCATGGCTAGTGGAGGAAGAGCATCCGCATCTCTGCATCCCGGGCAAACCGCTCTCCTGACAACCAGGAAGCCAAGGTTGAATTTGAGATTGATTTCACCAACACTAATGGAATTAACCAAAAAAAGTGTGGGGGGGGGGTCTTTTTTTCTGGTGATCGACTGAACGTAAATCATCAATGTCTCTAGGATTTGTTCCTTTCCTGGTTTGGTTGTTTCCCTGCGATATTGAGAGGACATCCAGTCTGTTGCCAAAAGGGATTTGTCCTTTTTATCTAGGCAGAAGAGTGCTTCAGCTATTTGCATTTCTGAATTGCTTAGCTGCCCAAGCATGCTCGGTGTGTGCTGTTTGAAATGTGTCACTGAGGCACGTGACTGCTGTTCTCGAGCTGATGTTGGACTTTCTCCAACAAATATGGATTATGTTAAAGTCGGTTCTGAATTGACGAGGATATGTTAATAACTCCCAGATGGGTATCTCCGTGCTCTCCAGCAGGGGAACGCAAGCAGTCTATGGCAGGAGCAAGTGTTTGGCAGGTCCATCATTCCGTCATTAAAGGCCACATTATTACTTACAACCGCGCCTGCATGACAATGGCTGCTGAGCTGAGCCCAGCCTCACCGTAATGAGCGCTAGGAACCGGCTCTGGGGTGGAGACTTTCCCAGGTGTTGATAAAAAACAGTCTGCAAGACATGCCCCTTTCCCTGTCGCCAAACAAGGTGCTGGGAATGACTCAGGCAGCAGCAGCAGCAGCGGAGGTGGCCTTGGAGAGGGACTGAGGCTAAGATGTGTTCAGGGTGCAGCCACACAGCCCTTGCTCAGCAGGGGAACTCTGCCTGTGTCTGTCCTGAGCTTGTGTGCTTTGGTGCCTGCCTCCTGTCCTAGCAAGTTTAGCTGAGGCCATTATTCACGGTACAGTCATTTACACTGGGGCCACAGTTGTTTTTATTAGATGGTATACCTTCTTTGTCCTTGGTCCTTAACCTATGGAGTATAATTTTTTTTCCTTACAATTGGTTTTATAAAAAATGAGAAAATATATGTCTTCTCTAATCATATTTCTAGACCAGAAGGCAAGTGAATATATTTGATATTGAATTTCAATATGACCAGTTACCTTGGAATACACAGTCCATGGGCTCTGTGCTTACTACAGTTAATTATGATGAAGGTGGATATTAAGCTGAAAGGGAATGCCTTGGTAGAAAAAATAATCACTCTGGTGATTATGAATAGATGTGCCTTATTTTAGTAGACGGGTAAAATGCAACAAAGTCTCGATTTGCAAAGTAAATGCTACGTGCTCATTGCTTCCAGATAGAAGGCAAAACAATCTTGCATCCCTCTATGTATGTTGCAGTGAGAGAATCCCTGAGGATGATAAATGTAATTGAAAACACTCAACTGCAGATGATACACGTTCTCCTTTGTTATGAGTCTCTCTCCATAGCAATTCAGCCACAAAGAGCTCCCCCCACTTTACAGTCAGGTAACTGGATTTTACAGTGTCATTCCATCTACATAGGCAGATCTATATGTTTTCTTTATCTCCCCCGACCCTTCCCAGCAACTCGAAGGAATTTCAAAGTATAAAACCACATTTGCCAACAACATTATGACAAACCATTTAGGATTTGGATTTTTCACAAGGCAGTGACATTAAATGCCATGGATTCCCAGCATGCATTTGGGATATGTTTAGTGCTAACAGTCAGGATTTAAAAAATATATTATTTTTTTAAGTCATTTCAAAATATCAAAAGATCAGCAAAAGCTTTTTAAGCATTTCTGCCTTGAGGCCTTCCTGAAGAAGGTGTGGGCCCCTGAGTGTTAATAGTTTGGATATTCTAGGAAGGTAGAGGAAAGGAAATGCAGTTCGTGAGCTGGGTTTGGGAGCATAGGTCGACAGTCTCAGCACAGAGATGCGGAGGAGGCTGCACAGTTTCAGGTCAGCCTGGGGGATGCACTGTAAGGACTGTCTCAAAACAGAAAAACAAAAACAAACAAGACAAAGCAAAGGGGCTGGAGGAGAAAGGGAGGGGAGGGGAGAGAGAGAGAGAGAGAGAGAGAGAGAGAGAGAGAGAGAGAGAGAGAGAATCTAGCTCACCAGGACTCACTGCAGGCTACAGATGTGCTCCAGGACGACAGCTGTCTTCAGATCTCTGCCAAGCAAAGGGAAGGCTTTCTTTCCTTTTTTTTTTTTTTTTTTAGTTTTCGAGACAGGGTTTCTCTGCGTAGCTTTGCACCTTTCCTGGAGCTCACTTGGTAGCCCAGGCTGGCCTCGAACTCACAGAGATCTGCCTGGCTCTGCCTCCCCAGTGCTGGGATTAAAGGCGTGCGCTGAAAGGAACTGCCCAGTCCTTTATAAGTGCATCATGTTATGGTTCCTTACGTGTGAGCATTTCGAAGCACCTGTAATCTGGGAATTCACGGAGCCTCGGAAGCTGCTGGTTGTTGAAAACACTTCAGCGCCCTGCACATTCTTGAGTGCAAATGGTCGCCCAGTAGTTTTGATGCCACTAACTCCGGTGACTGTGCCTGAGCAACAAGAAGGGGAGAGCTTGTGTTCCAAGATGCTATTGTTTTTATCAACACCTAGTATTTCTTAAGTCTCCAGAATGTACTTCTGTACCATTAATATTCCATCAAAGAGATTCAGTCAATGCGTCCGTGTTTGAGAAAGTCTGGGGAGTTCACCAGCAGTTGTAAAAGAAATGGGTGGCCCTGTACTTTGTGGCCATTGGGTTGAAACTTTCTGAGACGCTATGAGACCTGGCTTAGCCAAGGACCACTTGTTCATTGTCGTTAGGAATTAGTAAGCCAACCTCAGAGTGTTAGCTACTCTGGAAAACTCACAAAATCGACTCTGGTATTTGGGAGGGACTCCCATGTCTGGGGGCGTGGCCACTCTACCACCAATTGGAAGGAACATTCTGGGATGAAGAATTCGGCGTGTGGAAAGAGCCAGAGCAGATGATCAACACACAGCATCGCCGTCACATGGAAGAGGTCCGGCCTGCACAGTGGTGGGCTGTGCAGCTGACGGCGCACTGCAGCCCAGCCTTCTGACGCTCTTTTCAATGTTGCGTCACCTTGGCAGAACGTGCCCCAGGCAACACTGGAAGATGGAAAGGGGGAGGGGCTAAAGGGAACACCCTTTACGCAAAAGCACCTGAACAGCGGTAAGCCCAGAGACTTGGGCTTTTACCTCGCCTGTCCTTCCCTCTACTACACAGCACACTAGTCTACTCATAACGACTCTCAACTTTCTGGGTTGTTAAAAAGAAGCTTATAAGAGCAATTGAAAGTAATACGGGCATTTTAATATTGTGACACTTAATGCTACACAAAACCTTTGTTTCCTACAGGTTTATTGAGCTGGTGTATTAGATTTCCTGCTGTATGGCCAGGAAGATTATGGTGGCTTAGGTCTTAAGTATACTTTGGGGAAGCATTTTGTATTTTCGCTATAAATAGTCTTTCTAAAACAACACGATTGTGTAACTATTAATGTTTATATTGCATTATACATCTCCCAAAGTTTACTACGCATAGTGAAGAGCATGGTAACCAAAGAAAGCGCTTTTGTCTGTGAAATTATTCAAGTGAATCCATCTCGCCCATGATTTCATCAGTAGGATACCCATGCTCTGTTATTATATTGTGGCATTACACTACTAAGCATGTAAGCTTCTAGAAGCTAAGCGATTACAATACATATATGCCTTATTTTAAAATAAAAGTTGTAACAGAAGTGAGAGACTAACTTTTAAATAGAAGTAATGACGCAAGTGTAGCAGTTTTCAAATGCATAGTTTCACAAATGCACCATTGGATTGAGAGAACCAGTGTTCAGAGTTAGAGCAAAGCCAATGTTTCATATTAAGTCATTTCTCTGACTTGGTGAAAGTAACCAAATTGTTAATTCTACTATAGAATGCTCATTTTTTAGTAGCTGTTCACTTATTCTCACAAGCACACAGCACTATGGAATCCTGATAAAGGACAGCACTGAGTTCTTCTTGGGCTGCAATCCTCTTCTGATTCCTGGGGAAACATAACACATGGCGAAGACACATTTCTTTATGTAGATGATTTAATGGGCGACCCCTTCACAATATATAAGTGAAGAAAAGCCCCAGACCTAACACTGCAGATCCCTCTAGAAGCACTTTTCCTTTTCCTTCCATATGTGAATAACCAGTCTCACTGTGTTCAAAACCACAGCCTGGACAAAGCAAAAGGGGAGGCCTGTCCCACCCAAGGAAATGAAAGATTATCTTCTTCAAGCCACAGAAACAAGACGGACGGGGCCCACCTTTGAATCACTCCCCGCTTCGTTCAGATAGAACATGACACCTGGGTAATCTGCAATTTGCTGGGGGCATTGTTAGCATGCTTCCCCTCCAGGGTAGGATTTTAACCAGGCCGCCAGCAGCTGTGGATTTGGCTACTTGGCCACATTAGGCCCGCAGAACCCCTGCTATTACCCTGGTGAAACCTGTGCCAGGGCCCCTGGTGACTCGGTGAAGGTATTAGGTCAGATGAGTTACACTAAGTGGCAAGTGATAAATTCAAGATGACAATTTGAAACAGCAGTGTTGCTTCTAGGTAATTAATTCCAGTGGTGCCTGGGGCGGTGTGTGGTTGCCGCCACTGGTGTGGCGGAGCTGCGGAGCTAATGAGAAAACATTACAGTGAGGCTTAGGGGCCTGTGCGTTCTGGCAGGCTGAGGTCACTACGATTAGGAAATATTAATGCGGAGTGACTGTGATCAACCATATACACCCAGGAAACTTAATTTTTATTTTATTAATGCAGAAACTGTTGACCGCTTTACAATGCGGTTGCTCACTAAGTGGGCTAGGGAGAGAACCGACACATTCCTCTCTGGGTCTGTGGCAGTCCCTAAAGCCTGCTGGCGATGGTGACACAATGGCTTGCCACAGCCAAGGTCCTGCTCACCTCATCTGTGGACACGGTGTCCTTCGCACACACAGAAGGCAGAGAATGGTGGGCCTAACTTACTTTCCTAACCCTGACTTCACCAAGACCTTTTGTAGACGGCTCATCTTCTCCGCTTAAGCACTAACTGTGAAATATGTGGAGAGTGATATTGTCCAGCCAGGGGCAAAGAGCTTCTCTTGTTACCTCTGTCCTTTGGAGAGGGAGTGGTCAGGTCACCTTTGACCCCCCCAGTGCCATCAGGCGTTAGAAGACTTGCTCACCTTCATTCCCATGGCCAAACACTCCCGTTCAGCTTGAAGCAGAAGGAACCTGAGGCCAGATGGGTGGGGTCCCGGACAAATTCAGACCGTCTGGAGGAGTGTGTGTGAGCCTGGAACTCAGCGCCCAGCCCACTTCATCTGGTGCTCACCTGGATGTCTCACTGGGAAGGGAGCAGAGCCAATCGGCCAAACTGTTTCCCTATAAAACAATCAAAGAAAGCTGTTCAGAGACTCTAGTGCACACCGCCATGCACATGCACACATATATACACACACTCGCAGAACTCGGGGTGTTGGCTCATCTCAAGTAGAGGACTTTTAGTTTGAGCAACTACAGATGTCTTGTGGTGTATAAGATGTATAGCCTATAAAATACCTACTAAACACTTTCCCCTTGGCACTGAAAAACAAACTGCTTCTAGCTGTAAGACCATGCCCTTATCACTTGCTATAAATTGGCTGTGGTGTTGGGTACTCAGCTTCAATATGTGCTCTATCCACAGGTATGCATGTGAGTGAAGGCAGATGAGTAGAAAAGCCATTAGCAACACGTGTTCTTTGAAATCTTGAAGGGCTACCAACTACATCCTTGTACTTCCAGCTTCCTATGTTATTAAGAAGCCAAGTGCATTGCAGAAAAAATAAGAAAAACCTTAACTTAAGCCTGGTCTTCTTCTTCTTCTTTTTTTTTTCCTGTAGAATACACTAGCTTGATTTTTGCATTAGTATACTCAGCTCCAGTTTCTAGAATAGGAGAAACAATTAATAGAACTTCTGGGAGGCTCAATCTCCACTGAGTAAAAATTAAAAAATCACATACAATCTTATATTTACAAAGAAATACATGAAATTCTTGGCATCATTGCATATGGGAAAAAAACTTAGAAAAAGTCAGTAAACAAACCCATCTTTTTCTTATATATTTTGAGGTGATGGTTCATAAAAAACACCAAGGAATTGCTGCAAAACTCCTTTCCAATGTCATTAAGTAGGGAGAAGGCTTGGAAGTGAGAGGTGGCTGCATTAGCAAGGGAGAAGAATGCAGCATTCCAGTTTGCCTATTTCACCATCACGGCAGTCAACAGTAACTGGATCAAAATGATGAAAGGAAATGCGTTTGAGTAGACGCAAATGATTTGTGTCTTGATATACATAAATGTATACAGTGCAGGATATTTGATCACACTGTGAACCTCGAGTTTGTGTTAATTGAATAAAACCTTAGGTCAGGAGGCAGAGGCACACATATTCAAACACAGAACATCAGGAGGTCAAGTAGCTGTGTTTCATGAAGTGGGTGCCCAGGAAGCACTCATCTTGCTGTTACAATGTTCTCTAGATCAGGGTCATAAATTCTTTTTCTCTAAAAGTCCAGACAGACATATCTTAGGTCTTTATGAATCATATGATTTTTTGTTTTAATTATTCAGCTCTACAGCTGGAACATAAAAGTAGCCATAAGCACTGCAAAAATGAGTGCATATTGCTATGTTTCCAGTAAAACTTTATTAACACTGGAGTTTGAAATACACATCATTTTCACGGGTCACAGAGTATTCTCTTTAGGTTTAAATATTTAAATATTTTAAAGCTTAGCCCAATAGGCCATATGAAAATCAGGGGATGGGCTGAATTTGATCCATGGATCAAATTAGTGGATCCCTCATTGCAAAGGGTTGCTCTGAGCTACAAGATCAAATCATTGCCATCTAACCCGCCTCCTACCCAAGAAATGGAGAAAGGGAAAGAAAATGTCAATCACCTTAGAAAGACTCAATGTCACTCTCCTCATGTTCTGCTGACTACCACACAGTCACACTGCCATAGTTAGCAGCAAATGACTATGAGGCACATGGTTCCTGGGTAGGCTTGTGTGTACTTAGCTAAATGTCAAGGGAATTCTACCCTTCAAGACCTGGTATGCCTACGGAGGAGCCAACTGTCTCTTCTCCAGTACTATGGAACTGAATTGAAGCAATGATGAAGATTATCTCCCAGACTTGGAATCTTTTGAGATTTGTCTGTTACTATTACCCCCAAATGGGATTGATGTTACTCATTGATACCAACTGGAGACACACAGTGGCCACAGTACTGAGAGGGGAAACCACCCACCCAACAAGCAACTTCTACTATTGTATAGTAGAATATATAATAATGTTGTCAAGGTACTCATGGAGAAATGCCACAACACCAAAAGGGCATGCCAAAAGCAACTTGAGAAGCAAAGCTCCTTCTGTTGTTCTTTTACTTCTTATGATATCCTTTTTGCTTCTAAAATATTCTGAGCCAGGTATGTAGTACATATGATCAGCAGTTGAGACCAGCCTGGACTTCACTGTGAAACTTGGCTCCACCACCCCAAATTCCAGTATCTGCTAAACCTTACTGTCTCACTCACCATTCCTCTTCGAGATCCTATGCCCTGCATCAGATTTTCAACTCATGCTTGAAGAACCAAAGGGAAAGGGCTGGAAGCATTAGAAAGTGATAGAGCTGGGCGGTGGTGGCGCGCACCTTTAATCCCTGCACTCGGGAGGCAGAGGCAGGCAGATCTCTGTGAGTTTGAGGCCAGCCTGGGCTACAGAGTGAGTTCCAGGAAAGGTGCAAAGCTACACAGAGAAACCCTGTCTCGAAAAATCACAAAGAAAGAAAGAGAGAAAGAAAGAAAGGAAGGAAGGAAGGAAGGAAGGAAGGAAGGAAGGAAGGGAGAGAGAGA